ATCTCGCTTTCCCGGGACCACCAGAACCCCGCCAGAACCCGAGTACTCGGGATTCTGATAAGAGGGTAAGGCATCAGTTTCATGTGTGCCTCCAGGTTTTCCTTAAGTCTCCCACCGGTGGGTATCACGGTCTACCGCTTCACATCCGGTCTCCATGGTTCAGTCTCCGGTTGAACTTAGAAAGTCGATCTCAAGGTGGATAGTGACATGTAGTGAATAACGCATTCCTGACTCCCATTGTAATCTCGATTATAAGCCCTCCCTTTTCTAGGGTAGTCATTGCGAGCACTTTCGTTGTACGATCATATCGAAGATAATCGACAAGTAACGCGCTATGATTGCCTGGCCTTATCTTCTCTGTTCGGGAAAGTTGTCATATCCCCACACAGCTATCCTTGGATACAAGAATGATCGAGTTAGACGATCAAATTTCTTTACGAAACATGAAGAGCCGACCCAAGCGTTGCCGTGATTCCTTGTTGCCGCCGTTTTCACCGGAGTCACAGGAGCTGTTGAGGCATTTTCAACCATCAAGCCTGTTCATTACTTATACGCTCAATTCCATATTTACGTCTCCCACCATGATATATGGTCTAATAACGCACTCAACAGGATGTTTTCCGTATGGTTGCTATGCGGGATGCTGTTAAGGGCAGTAGTTAATGCGTACGAGCCTGAAACAATATGCTTTTCAGAGACTGGATCAATCATATTATTCGTCTCGAAGTCTGGGAAGGTTTTCCTAGACAATGAAGTTTCGTTCGTTCTCACGACCGTAGAGAATAATACAGTTTCCTATATACAAGGCTCCGCAAGGAGCTGTAAAGACCAGCTTTTCGTGCAGTATGTTCCTATCGCATGTTCGGATGCAACCGGAAAACCATCAGGCTTCGAACCTCCAATCAGACACCAATCAGTTCATTGGACATCGCAATCGGCCTGGGAGTTACAGCTAGGGACCGGTTGAGATCAAATACGACAACATGGGAGCCCTAACTCTCATCAATTGGGCTGCAGTGGAGTGCAAGCTCCACGTGCACGAATCGAGGGTGGCGGAGGCCGCGGGAGCTGCTGGGAGAGAGGAGGAGGGGAGCGAGAAGAGGCTGCACAAAGAGAAGAAGGGGCTGGAGGAGAAGCGTTCAAAGCTTCTCCTCCTGTAAGCGAGGACGAAGGCTGCTTACAGGGTGGCCGAGAAGGAGATGGAGGAGTTATTGGGTGCCGATAATTCCTAGCCTTTTTTCTTCTATACCTATTGACCAAAGGCTATGCACTGACAGCGGCTGGCACTTGGACGAACAACGCATGGATTAAGGGCCGCAACACTGATGAGTCGGAAAAGCACTCAACAAAGGACAACAAGAGATGGTATTTCTTGTTCGTGGTGAGGGGTATCGTGGTCCTGGCTGTCTGTACATCATATTAATACTCTAATATCTAAAATCGTCCCAAAACTCTCGTATTTCGTCTGTCAACTGCATTTTTCAAGCTGGCGCTTAACTTGTTACTAACTAATAGCCAGAGCATAAAGTGATGGAGTGTAGTTAAGATAGAGTATCTGCACCCACCCTTGTAGCATTAACCATGACTGGCTTAGCATTCACACCATTCGGGAACCAACTCTTCATCACCACCATCGCCATGTCCAATCCGCTGCAACCACTAATCGAAACCCAACTCTCTGTCACCACCACCATCGCCATGTCCGATCCGCCACAACCGACTGTCGACCAAATGCGCCGTTGGACACCTGAGAAGCTTAGCGCATACCTTGAGCCACGTATCCACGAATGAGTTCGCCAACCTCAACCCGCGCAACCTTCATCAACCACGGCGGGGATATTTGCTACTGTGGGATGAAACTGGGCTTGACATACGCACTAAGGTTACGGGTGGAGGCGCATGCCGCGGGCCCGGACAATAATCTTTTTGCAGACGGCGGCAAGAGACAGCTTAAACCTTCCGGCTCTAGGTTGGCATTACGTGACTAGTAGGTTCTCCCATCCCAGTTAACCGTGATGACTCTAGAACTGACATAGGTAGGTAGCTACAATCACCTACAGTCAAAATATCCGTCGCTGGCATACTACAAATGGTAAACTGATTGTGGGTGGGAATAAGGGTAACTACCTACAGTATTCTGTTTCCGGGTTGTGCCCAATTTTATGTTCAAGCTCCGGAGAGTATAACTAGCAGATCCCGGGAGCTGCGTCAGATTAATGCTTCAATACACACTCTTCGACTCGGTAAGAAATTTGTTCCCTTATCGTAATCGAGATGGTAATCTCGGAACCCTAGTGATAAACTACGACACTCAAAGTAGTCGGTTGGTTTATTTTTGAAACAAATAACTGGGGATCTGGTTTAGGGGTATAACATCTCATTCGCATCGTGAATTGAGAAGGTCTTGGGTTCGATTCCCAAGTTCTCCACTTTTTTTGCCGGCTCTTATAACTTCCCCACGGTTTATCCGCTGAGGAGAACGCTGGGGGTTCTCGCTCTCTACTGTACAGATACTGGTAGATCGCACTGTGAATTGAGGATTTTTGAACGTGGAATTGGTTCCCTTACCAGAGAGTTGTATGGTTGGGGGCCGCAACAACCCTCTGCTCCCATCAACACTAACTGCCCCCTGCTTTCTCCTCTACAACCCCTCCTCTAGCTTCCTCGTTTGCTTCTATCAACATACCTATATCTCCTTTATCGCCGGGAGTCCTGTCCCCACTAGCCGTACCGCTTTTAGTACACGGAGGTTTTTGATGTCAGGGTGATGATGAACTGGTATTGTCTCATTCCACCACAACTGCAACTTTTTCTTACAGTATGCATCAGCAAAAATGTCTTGGATTGATATTCGCATGCCTTATAATGTGGGGCCAAATTGATAATTGGCCAAAGGGGATTGTGTGCTTGAATTGATGTCAATCTGCCACAAGTGTGTAGATTAATATCCTATGAATCAAAGTTTCGGGGTTTGAAACCCTCTGCAATGACGATACCGGCCACACCTCGAACATTTGGGCTGATTCTCTTCTCCCACCACCAGGCACCGCCAAGACGCCTCCATTACCACACAGTGACAACACATTGTTATGATGGCGTGATTCTGATGACGAACCATCCCCACCAACCTATACTATATAGACCCCCCAACTCTGCTCTGTCGAACAAAGCATCGATCTCATGACTCCTCCTCCCTCCCCCCTCCCCCCTCCTCCTAACTTCCCAGCTAACACATCCATACAGGACTAGTCGTCGGAACTGAAGGTAGCTGCATTCATAGTTCTGTCGACCCTCGCCGGCTTGATCGAGAAGAGAGAAGCTGTGAATGACAAGGGCGAGTTGGAGACAATGCGGATGAAGCATAATGAGGTTGGAGGAGATGAAGGGGGGAGAAAGACGTAGATCTCCGCCGAAGACACATTGTATCACCCGGGAATATCTTTCACAACCTTGATTATCCCGTACAAACCACCATTTCCGGTTGGATGATATGTATGTCCTCTCTTGTAGATGTTGTAATCGAGCATCGTGATCATTTGGTATCATTCCCTCGGTGTCGTACAGTACGCGTGGATTGTGCGACCCAATGGTTTATTCGACGAACCCGGGTGTCGGTGTGGATTAAACATTGCACGTTGAACTCGTCGCACATGTGCAAATTGTAGCTGGCGTTGTTGCTCAATCTCCGTGCAGCTTGAGACCAACGGATCAGTCCGGCTTCGCATTACTCTTGTAAAGTTTCGCAAGGAATATACCGTCTCATCATTAACTGATTATACACACACACATTAGCACATTATCACCCCCTCCACATCCCCCATTACCACCCCCTCCCTAGTCTATACGACTTTCCCGCTGACCGCCTCCCCCTCTTTCCCCTCATTACTTCCCCCTTCTCAACCACCCCCTAACCTCCCCCCACCAACCCCCCCACCCACCCTGACTCCTCCTCCTCCCACCCCCAACCTTAACCTTAACACTCATCTCCTCCTCACTCCAATCCCTAACCACATCCTCAGGGTGTGTTCCCATATCCCTATAAAACAATCTCCTCAATCCCTTTTTCGTCTCCTCCTCACACCCCAACGCCTCCTCACACCCCTCAATCGCCTTCGCCACCAATCCAATACTCGGGGTACAACACTCCCACAGCTCCAAAAACAACCTTGTAGCCTTCTGTGGCGGCAGCGACAGCTCATGCGCAAGGAGATGTGAGTGTGTAGTTACAAACTGCGGGAGTGGGGTGGTGGAGGCGTCCCAGCCGAGGGTGAGGAGGAGAGTGGAGAGGTAGGAGTACAGTGCGAATGCGGTAGCGGGGGTGGAGAGGGTGTTTGTTGGTTTGGATTCGTAGGAGGGGTGGAGGGGGAGGGGGGTGGGGGAGGGATTGGGTGTCGGCGGAGGAGGGAGCTGGTGGGGATTAAATGGGAATGCGGGGCGGGTTTTGATGGTAGTAGAGTTGCGTCGACGATGGAGGGGGCGCGGTAGCGGTAGGAGGATGGTGGTGGTGGCATTGCTGTTTTGTTGTTTGTTGTGGAAGAGGTGGGTTGTAGGTTGTGGGTTGGGAGATGTCTAAATCTTTTTTTTCCCTCTATTTCTGGAGGTGAGAAAGGTGTGGTTGGATAATGGAGACCCCAGATGCACGCGCTGAACGGGTGCCATTCCTGTCCTGTAATCCCCGGCATGCAAGGGACCGGGACTATTGGCTGTGTTGTAGGGGAGGCAAGGGGTGGACTTATCATTCACGGGTGATTGGCTTTGTTTGCTTTTCCCAATTATGCAGGTGGCTGAATGAATAGCGCAAGGATACCGCCAACCTCCCATTAACATTGGAACACGAGATAGTCGGTGATGCAGCCGAGAAAAAAATTAATGCAGCATGAGCGATGATATGTATGTCGGCAGGTACAACCTGCGCATTTAGACCCAATGATTTTCACTTTGCACTGCTTATAAAATTTATTTGTAGGAAATATTGCCTTGTTTCTGTTGATGTACATGTGGCCTCGCTAGCTCAATGGCTAGAGCGTGGGACTTTTAAGTGGAAACATGTGAAATCCCAAGGTTGCGGGTTCGAGTCCCGCGTGAGGCTTGATCTCTTTTGCACTTCATTCGCAGTGGAATATTTCCCACAACAGTCAAGAGCTTATTTCGTTCTCATATTCGGTAATCTTCCTCTCTTGTTTGTCTTGGAAATGCTTCTGACGTTCATGTCATGCATGAATAATGATGTACTGACTTCGTCAATCTTGCGCTTAAATCGTTTCTTGGTTCAAATCTCGAAGTTGCCTTTCTCATTCCACAGCCATCCTCTTTAAAGCACATTCCTGGTTCATAACTAGCTAGTCTTGACTCGCTCCTACCGAGAGAGGATAATTTGCTTGTGCTATCTTATGGTTGAGATCTAGGCTTACCGAAGCTGCCGCTCCTGTAGTCTTGTGCGGACTGGAACTGAAGCCAAGGCTTGCTTGTCTGTCGCTCTCAACAACGTTTGATATTGTTGGCATACACCTAGAGCCCAGGCCACGTTGCTGTGAATGGGGCCCTAGCTGGGGATTGCAGAGCGATATTCCAGATAATAAACCGATCTCTAGTTAACTGTGCACGAAGCGGAAGCTTCACTTTTGTATCGTTGTCCATCCAGTAGAGAGTAATAACGCGACGTGAATCGAATCGATTTTGACTTTCCGGATATTGAGGTCCTCGACGTAGTCGTATTGATGGAGATCTTCGGATTTCACTCCATGTCTCCGGAGTAGGTGCAGCCGATCTATCATCTCAGGTTCCAATTTTTCAAATACTGCTTTCCTCACATCCGGGTCGCCTAGGTTCTCCCTAGTAGTAGAGTCATCATGAGAGAAGCAAAAAATGATTTCCCTTCCTCAACTACTTCATCAATTTATCTTTATCTCCTTCAAACCAATCAAATCCAATGTGCAAATCGGGATAGTTGAGATTCCACAGATTCCGTCTTTAAGCTTTTCCTCCGACTACTTAGTGGCGATACCGTTCCTGACAATCCTATCTTCAGAACTTCAGATAAGAACTTCACGTCAGCCAGTCAGCACTATGTGCTTAGTTCACTCAAGCGGTATTGAAATCCGGTTCATCGTCGTTCTCGTCAAATCGTAGTACCTATTAAACTGATAGCACGTTAACATAATCTCTTGCCATACCGTATTGATGCATAAAATTCCCTTTCATTGAAGCGGTCACTTTATATGCCAATACAAGGTCGGGCTGTAGTTCTTGAAATATTACCGTAAAAACTCAATTACCTTGTGCCCGATCTAAGGGTACAAATCGATAAAGGGTAACAGGCTTGGGATATCCATTCTCGAGAGCATGTAGTTGTGAAAGAATATCGATGACAGTATGTGAATTTGCAATTTTGTACCGGATCTTGAGGCAAAAAACAGTCTATCATTGACGAAGTCCTCGATCGTGATGTCTTTGCTGCAGCCTGAGGTACCAGTGGAGATAAACTTTGGCGTCGTCCGGAGATAATCCGCTCCCACCAAGAATTCCGAGGAGGATATCTATCGGTCCGTGTTTCTTTGAGGTTTTAATTGCCGCAACCCAAGCCCAGATAGGAATTATCTGTTGCATCTTGGAGGAGATAGTGAACCGCAGTACATCTTGATCAAAATCTGATAGTTCCTCCTACACACCTGCTTCTTTCCCTAGTGTCGATAAAGTCTCTGTCGACACTCTTGAACTCGAACACCGTGAGCGGAAAGGATCTCGTTCTTTCATTTACCAGGTCCAGTATAAAATTGCCAGTGTCGAGTGTCGCTATGTATCTTTGGAGTCGTCCCAGATATCGGCTACGTCAGGCAATAATGATGTCCTGAATTGACCGGCCTTCAACTACGGCTTTCCCCCTTACCCCGATTCCCCTGACGCCCCTTCTTATCCTTCTCCCCCTTCCCCCGTCGCGGAAGTCATATATCCACGGGAAGTCATTCTTTATTTCAGGCTAGGGCTCGCGTCCCACGTCCAGCGGCGTCTTCTGATCTTAGTAGTGCTGAAGGCGTTGAGGCACATGCTGACATCAACAACGCTCGCAGAATTCAATAAATGAGGGCGTGTCAAGGTAGGGCGTGTGTCAAGGCCGCACGAGGGGAGATTGATGCGTCTCGCTGCTAAGTAGAGAGTACCGCCATGTAGAGACACCCCGACTCGACATAGAGGGAGGGAGGCTACAGCGTCTTGATGAGAGCTTAATGAAGACAAAGGGAGACTAATGACGCCGGTAGACTGATGTGGAAGCCTTAACGAATAGATTATCGAAGTGGTAGACGCTAAGGAGTGTGAGTGATCATTAAAAAGAGAAAGTGACATTGGAGGACGTGCCATCCTAAGTACATGCACCCCCACCAGAGGTCACACACTACCAAATACACCACCGAATTAATTACCGAGAAACCACTGAGCCCGCCCGTTGTGCGCAATTAAATACACCGTCGCATTGAAGAAGGCAGCGCTGCACGAACCTCATCTGTCGGTAAGATGTTACATCAGTTATTTTGCACAATATAAGACCAGCTAGAATTCAGATTAATACAATAAACGAACAAAATCATTCCCTCGTGATACTGTTCGAAATAAATAGCAGTGTTGGATAATGGTTATACAAAAAGGTATGTTGCACAGTTTGTGTGACGTTGTTATGTTGTGCATCCTCCCCTGTATTCATGTTGCACCCACCACATCCTCCTCCACACCTTTCTTCTCTCCCTCTTCCTCCACTCCCCCACTATCAACCGTCTCCTTCTCCTTCTCCTTCTCCAATTTCTCCCTCCACCTCCTCTCCGATTCCCTCCTCCGACTCTCTCTCTTCCTCCTAGTCTTCTCTACCAACCGTTGCGCGTAACGCATTGCGCCTTCCTTCTTTGGCGGCGCAGCTTCAGACATGTCTATATACACCCGTTAGCAACAAACAAAACACGAAAACAGCGAACCTACTCGTAACCGATGATGAGAAATAGAGAAAGAGAGAGAGAAAGAATAGGGGCGAGGGAGAAGGGGGGGTAGATATAACGGTCGCTAGCTAAGTGGCTAGTGGCGCACGGACCGTAGCTGGGCGGTAGTGGGGCGAAAACTTAGAGAGTCAGCCCTATAACTGGTCATCGGGGATCACTCGCGGCGAACTATCTAGGCGAACCACGGTGGGTCGGGGGGGTGATAATTTTTGTCGCGCGGGTGACAAATGTTTGGTGCATAAATGGTATGCGCGCGGCTAGCTGACTGTTTTATGCGCCGAAACGATTTACATACTGTACTGCTCACTGGTTCGGACACTTTTTTGTGCTGACAAAATTTTTCTATACCCGAATGATGAAAAACCAACCAAATACGCAATAAAAACTTCTTCGGATACTCCTTGCTGACTGCTGACGTCCGAACCAGTGAGCGGTACAGTATTTGCGGATTATGTAGCAAAAGATTCAGCTTACCATGAATGCGCTAGAAGTTCTAGAATTTGCAAGACTAGAAATACGGATCATAAGTAGGACCTTAAAAAGCATAAAGTGAAATGAAGAACCAGAACTATCACGGTCGGTGCGGTAGAGTACCGGTACCCACCACCAGCTGCGGCTTGGCGCTAGTTTGAACGTCCTCCTGGCACCATGTTCAACCACAGTAGTCAAACCATCTCGACTTTCAGTTCATGTATCAAAACTTTCGCAGTTTTTTTCCAAGATATATACATACTACGACGAATTGATACCGGGTGAGGATGCACAGGTCTTCTAGTAACTGAATAGCTCGACCCCTTCACCGACGTGGTTATCTTCCCGACACGCTGTAGATCCCTGCCAGCGCGGAGATGACGAACGCGATATCAAAAGACCTGAATTGCTCTCCGTGCCGCGGCTAAGCCTTGTGACAAGCTCCCTCCAAGAGAAGAAACCGAGCTTGCGAGGGAGGCAGACGCTGGTATGCGATTACAAATCGCCAAATTTAATGGTTGGATTTATTTACTTTTTGTTCGTTCCGTCGCGTGGCGTTTTCGTTTGAGGCTTCACGAAATTCGAACACTCGTACCAAAACAAAATACTGACGTGACCACACACGGTGGATATGGAATTTACAGCAGATACTCGCTCCCAGAATCTCTGCTTCTCAAGAAAGATATGCTCTACAATGGTGCACAGTATATGGAGGCGATGCTGGTGTTTGCCGGCCAACCTTGGGGTGCATGAGATTTCTCACATGGTTTACGAAGCTTTTGTCCAATTCGTAGAGCAGTTTGCGAATTCGAACTTAGTCTTGAAACTGTGGAGAAATTAAGCGAACGGCAAGCGTATTTGTGGATACACCCAAGCTATATCAAAATGCAGTTCAATACAATACAAGCGCCCAGCCGATGTTGAATTGGCTTCGCCGGGCTAGGGAATTAAAGGAAAGATACAAATGACTTAGAACCGAGCAAAAAACCAAGTGCAGACACCTAAAGTTCCCACAATCTTCTCTAAAGAGGAGTGCACCCGCCTAAACCTGCAACAGTGTAAGTGTAGCCGTTCACATCGAGACTTACATGTCCAATTGCATTAGTGCCTTACGTCAAAATTGCCGCTAAGGAACCCGTTGAGATTGGCTACTGCGTCGATACCATCCACAAAATCGACTGGGTGACACACGTCGTTGATACAGCAGCAATTCGGAATGCTTCAGAGACCATCCCCCCATTCCAGTCCGGAAAATCTGGAAGCATTTGAAATTGGCTGCAGTTGGAGGAGTACGTGTTTAGTCTGTTGTTGAGACAGAATGCTTTGGATGTTGAAAGTAGGAACTACCATCGGGTACGGGAGCGGGGGCTGCAATGGCAACCGCAGAAAGGAGGGTGATGAGCGTGATGAGGGAGACGCGCATTTTGTGAGGAAGGGAGCGTTGGGATTTGTGATTGAATAAGGATTCTGTTCGAGCGGAGGGGATTTTGGAGCTACTGGAAATGTCGACTTGAAATGAGAGCTGGCTGATGATAGAGGTAACGGGAGGAGTCCATCGACATTTTATAAGGGAAAATATGGCGCCAAATTGGTTAGTCTTCTACGTAGTGGACAAGATAGACCGACAGAGGTGTGG